GAGGGAGAAGCAGGCTCCATGCAGGGAGCCTGACATGGGACTCAATCCCAGGACTCCAGGATAATGCCCTGGGCTGAAGGCAGACACTAAACCGCTGAGCCACCCAGGCTGTCCCAGGAGAAGACTTTAAAGCATTCCCCTAGGGACACCTGGGTGGCTCAGTGGTTGAGGGTCTGCCTTTGGCTCAGGGCATGATCCCGTGGTCCTGGGATCAAATTCCACATTGGGCTCCCTGCAGAGAGCCTGCTTCTCCCTCTGCCTCTGTCTCTGCCTCTCTCTGTTTGTCTCTCATGAATTAATAAAATCTTAAAAATAAATAAATAGGTCTATAAAGTGTCCTTTAACAAGTCAGTTACGGGCTGGTGGGTAGGAGAAGGAGTCTAGTTGCTAAAACCACATACCAAGACATTAAATTTACATTAAAAATTGTGAAGTGATTCTTTAATCTTTAGAGGTCTTACTGATAAAGTGTCAAAGTTAGTCATATACATCTCATGACAAACCTAACACACTATGTTAGAGACCTGATTACAAAGAAACATTCAGAATTTCTCCTAGGAGCTACATCTGATGCCCGATAGATGTAAGTTTACTAAATTTGACTCTCAGTATGGGTGACAGAAAGAGCATCCCCCTTCAAGGATGATGTTGAATATATGGAAGAAGAAAGAAGTGATTGTCACAGGAGCTTGGAAGCTGTTTAAATAAGTTCTTCTCTGGGCGCCTGGGTGGCTCAGTGGGTGAGCATCTGCCTCCTGCTCAGGTCATGATCCCAGGGTCCTCAGATGGGGTCCCGCATGGGGCTCCCTGCTCAGCGGGGAGTCTGCTCCCTCTGCCTCTGCCCCTCCCCACTACTTGTGCTCTCTCTCTAGATCTCTCTCTCAAGTAAACAAATATATATATATATATATATTTTTTTTTTTTTTAAGTCCTTTCTGCTTCCCTAGGATTAGGCTACTGCAAGGAATTTCGGTGCCGAGGTAGTCTAACCATTGGGAGTTGAACACACGTGGATGGACTCCTAGACAGAACCGGCAGCGGTCTCCCGAGAAGGGATTTCTCCCTGCAGTGCCCTCCCCTAGCACCCCACCCCTAATGAAAAATATAAAACCACCAAAGGCCAACCAGTGTCAAAATCCACCTAGGAGGTTCACCATCCCGCTAGGGAAACTGTCCCCAGTTAAAATGCAAACGCCTGAGCAGGAGTAAAACACTGTCGATTGTTGGGTACCTCCAGGCTCAGCAGTTTTATTCAATCTGTTCCCAGAGGTGCCTAAAGCAGGATGTTTAACTGGGAAAACAGGGGAGAGTCCTAGGTTAAAAGAGGACAGTATAAAAAAAAAAAAAAAAGAGGACAGTATGATACCTGGAGGACAAATGAAGGTATCCTGAGGACAGAGAAGGGCATCGGAGAACACCTGAACTCCATCCTGCTTCTGAAGGGATGAGCCCAGTAGGTACTAATCTGGGGGTCCTGTGCTTGGGAACCTGCAGTCAGAAGAGGCAAATTCTCCCAAGATCAGATCTGTCTCCGCAGGAGGATACTATCCAACAAGTCAGTAGCATAACCAAGAAGGAATTCGAGATTTCTGACTAAGATACAAACAAATAAATGTTGCTGGTGGGCTGGTGATAGCAGCTCATGCAAACCTATAACCCACTTAACGCTAGGTCTGTGTCGCTTTCATTTCGCAGAACATGGCTTCTAATTGGCCAGGCCATCTAGTTAGACTTACGCCTGCCAGGCAAGTTCTCCTATTATAAAAGAAAAGGGCATTAAGGAAAAAATCTGTTTCCAACTAGATTTTCTTATACCTTATGCTTTCCTGACTCAAGTCCTCTCCGACAAGCTTTGGAAAAGTTTATGGACAATAAACAGGTGCCACTTCCTAACTAAATAATTTCCCAAATTAAATCCACCTCTTTACCGGAAAATAATGCCTACTCCCATTCCTTCCACGGATACACAGAATTATAGACAATTCTCCATCTGCCCAATGCTAATGAATCAATGGAAAAAAATACCTCATTCCTGAAAAAAAGAGTTTCAACATCTGCCCTCAGAACAAACAACAGACTGAAATGGGTAGTTAACTATTAGTAAAAAAAAAAAAATGGCCTGATTCACTTTTTTACTACCGTCCTTGAACCTAGAGGGATTACTGGTAGAAAGAAAGAAAAAGAAAGAAAAAAAGAAAAGAAAAGAAAAGAAAGAAAGAAAGAAAGAAAGAAAGAAAGAAAGAAAAGAAAGATCGAACTGAATGGGGAAGGTTCACACACACACACAAAAAAAAAAAACCACCCCAAGATCTAGATGAACATCAGGGGTCATGAAGCCAATCTGAAGTGTGATGGATGTTATAGACCATTGGCTTGTAAAAACACGTATTATTTGGCATAAAATGGCATGAGATACATGAACCCTTTGGTGCCCATTCATGGACCCCAGATGCACGGAACCTCTGGTCTAATTTCCAGAAATTACTCAACAATATAATTGCCCACAGGGACATACCTACAAAAAGGCTCTCTGCTACATTCTTTATAAAAGCAAATGACCGGAAACAACCTACAACGCCATCAAGAGGGGACTAATTAAGGAAGATCATGGCCAGTAACAAGAGAGGGATGAATCTCTGAGCATCCCGGGAAACAAAGGCCAAAACAGGTTGCTCGCTGAAAAACATGAGGTAAGAAACAATGGGCTAAGCATGACCGTATAAACATAATATTTCTGAACAGATACACAGGAAACTAGAAACTGTGTGTCTGCCTGAGATGGAAGCCTGGACCATAACTTCAAGCCTGGGTTTGAAGTTGAAAGAAAAATTAACTTTTCTATTTTTAATCCGTGTTATTACTTTTTTAATTAAAAGAAAATTTGTTGGAGAGAGATAAATAAATAGCCGAATCGAGAGAAAGAGAGAGAGGCAGAAAGATTGGTGGTTTTAAAAGAACTTCTGGTCCAGCTAAGTCCCAAAATATCCCCAGCCTTGAGAATAGTTGATCTCGTAAAACATTTGGCACCAAGACATAAATAGGAAAGTGTCTCATAAATGCTTTCCCCAGCTCGGCGGGGCTGCTGCCACCGCTCAGAAGAGCTGAACCTTCTCTCCCACACTGTGGCTTTTCTGGCTTTTCCACTCGCTGAACCAATTATGGAACATTATAACACCAGCACCAATATTATTTTTTAAAGGCTGATGTTATTCACTAAATACTCATTAAGCTGATCTCCTTGTTCCATTTACAGCCAGCTTAAGGGCAGATCCAGATGGCACAAATAATGCATATTTGGGCTTGATCTGCATGCGGCCCGTCAGCAAATAGCCATTATCAGCTTGAGAGTCTCCAATTGCCTGACACCCACAGCTGTGTCCAGGTGTGCAGAAGAGCGACCTTTATGGAGATGGCCGGGCTCCCTGAGGTTCAGCAAACCATTTTTGTGATGGTTTTGCATCTTTGCATCTTTGCCTTTGCATCTGACCACTTAGCAACAGCAACCGAGGGTAGCTCGGTAACGGGCTGTGCCTCGGTGTTCCTGAGCAGAGAGGATGGGACTGCATCTCCCTGCCACATAGCCCTCCCTCCCTTCACTGATTCACCCTGGGTTGCCAGGAAGATCCAAGAGTCCCGGGAGGCTCTCCTGCACAGCCAACTCCCCTGGCCCTACGTTCTTATGGGCCTGCTGGACTAGGTCTATCAAAGGGAATGCCACTGTTTACCCTTTTTGATTGACAGGCTATGAACCCTTACCCTCACCCCCATCCCGTGGCCTTAAAGATAAAAAATGAGATAGAATAAAATCTGGCCAACTTTTTCATCCCAGAGAAGATTCAGAATGAGGATTTTTATAAAGTCTTCAGAGGGCTATGCAAGAGGGCCAGCATAGTAAGAGTTGCCAGAAGCTTCTGTCTCTGTGTTCCCAGGGTTGGGCATGAAAAATGAAAAGCTTTCTAGAGGACAGCACCCTGTCCTGGTTTCCAGATAGTTCCCGACTCTCCAAAGAAGGGGAACAGAAGAAAACACCCAAGTCGCTCTGATTTGAGTATGAATGGTGTATGGGATTGGAGACAGGGCGCAGAATTTTTGTGCTAACCCTCTTTTACGTGAGCTGATGTTAGATGAGTTGGCACTTCCTGTTAACATCCCACCCAGGAAGTTGTAAGAGGCAGTGAGGATCAACCCAAGTGGGGAAGATACTCCACGAATAATTCGTGCAGGACCCCATCGGAACACAGATCGGCGAGAACGGGCATCGCTATAACTTCTGTACATTGAGTACCCCTGAGGCCTAGAGATTGCCTGAGCCTACACACAGTGAAAAGATCAAATTAAAATACCTCCCGGAAACACGAAAGGACTGTTCCCCCCTTGAATCACTAAGGCAAAGACCTGTCGCCAGTCTGTTTCTCCCTGATTCATTCAGGAGAGAATTCTGTGCAAGAGGGGAGGCACCCCGTTCCCAGCATCCTTTCTGTGGTTTTAGTCTCCAAGTCTGTGGTCTACAGAAGAAGTGGGGAAGGCAGGGGAGGCACACATTTTACAGCATGGGAATTTGATAAATTCAAAGGGATAGAATGGCATCCACCTCTCCTCGTGCTACGTGGGCCTTAAATTAGCCAAATGCCCTGAGTGAGCGAGTGATGATGATGAGGCAAGGAGGGGCAGTCCTATCCTGAGACTGGGAAATGGGGAGACGGAGGGACAAATGCCAGATGCTGTAACCCAAATCAGCCCAGGCCCATCTGAGGGGTCCCTGTCTACTTGGCCATGCCTGGGAGACAAAGAGAAGGTCCTGTGAGCTCCCGTGTGGCAAGCCAGTGGTCTGGAGAACAACAGGAAAGGAAGGCACGGGGCCAAACCCCAGCTCAGCCCTGTGCAATGCTGGGGTAAGTAATCTGGAAGGACAGAACACTGGCCATTTCGCTCATCATTCCTCTGCCACCAGGCCCAAGCCTATGCTGCCTAACTCAGCCCAGGGTCTGCAGGGAGCTTGCCTGAAAGAAGCCCAGCTCTACCTATCCGGATGGAAAGTTCACTCTCAGGGAAGAGCAGCCTGGGACCCTCAGTGTCAGACTTCTTCGTCAACGCAGGGGCGAAGTTCAGTGCCAGGGCCGTCGGGGGGTCCTCTGCTGCACCCTGAAACAAGAAGCAGTGGCGTCACTGTAACACCCCCACTACCTTCACTCCCCAGACCCCTCCAGCTCAGAGCTGCCCAGGCAGCCTGCCAGTCTCTACCAGACGTGCCAGGGCTGGGCCAATGCCAGACCCAGATGTCAGGCCGGGCTGGCTCACAAGGATGACGACAAGCTTTCAGGTTGTAGAGCTTTTGGGATGATAAAAGCTCTGAGATCTGAGGGTCAATCGATGCTGATCTGAGAAACGGGAAAAACACATACTGGGAAAGATGGGGCCCCATCCTGCGGACAAAGGACCCAAGGGACTCCGCCCTTGAACCGTCCGAAGAAGCCTACATGGGCAGGTTCTCTCGGACAACAGCTGTGCTACCGGGACAAGGTCAACATTTGTAGGAACTGACCACCTTCACGTTTCTCATGAGATCCAAAAGAGAAAAGATCCAAACAAAGGTACCTCAAAAGAAGGAAACAATGACAGTCTCAGGGACCCAACATATTTGGAGTAAAGTCCAGATGGACCTTAAGACAGCCATGTGGCCCTTGTGCTTTGTCTGTAGCTAGTTAAGGAGACTGTCTTTGCATTAGGTAGGCAAAACTTTGTTTTTAAACATCCGCATGTTTAGTTAACAAATGGTTATAGACTCCCAACTTTGTGGCTACTTGGTGAACAAGACAAAGTCACAGCCTCTCATGGAGCCTAGGTTCTGGGAGGAACAGATAAATGAATCCATAATGGGGCCAAGCTTCTCTTCCATGGAAACCCACTGACCCTGCTGACTGACTGCTTACTCAGGATCCCAAAGGAAATGAGGAAGATGGGTAAGCACCCCCAAAATGGCTTTCATCCTCCACTTTCATCCAAACACGCTGATGCTAGTTGCTAAGGGAAGGAAGGTGAGTAGATCATTTAAATGGGAAAAAAAAAAAAAAAAACAGATACTTTCTGAAATCCAGGCGAAAATAGTTCCAAATAGAAGTTTCCATTTAAAATACATGTCTCTAGTATGGCAGAGAAGACTGGTGATCCAGTCCTTGTAATGCATCCGTTTATAAGCAACTACTAAAATTCTTGGTTAAGCCTCTTTCATGAAGGAAGTTTCATCAAAGTCATGCCTGGCTGTGTTTTACACACACACACACACACACACGTACACAGGCACGCACGTGCACGCACACACATGCACACGCGCCTCATTGTTGTCCAATGTCACTGTGGATCCGGAGTAGAAAGAGAATCTAATAATTCAGATATTTTAATTCATTATTTCTTTCCAACTACATGTTTGAAAATGAAAACACAAGCCCTTCTTCTCACGTCTTCCCATTTGTCCAATACATCGATACTGTCCTAATCGTTTTATTTGCAACATCCTCCATCACACATTAAAGAAGGGGGCCGGGCCACCTGGGTGGCTCAGTGGCTGAGCATCTGCCTTTGGCTCAGGGCGTGATCCCAGGGTCCTGGGATCGAGTCCCACATCGGGCTCCCCACAGGGAGCCTGCTTCTCCCTCTGCCTGTGTTTCTGCCTCTCTCTGTGTCTCTCATGAATAAATGAATGAGATATTTTAAAAATCAATAAAATTAAAATAAAGAAGGGTGCCAACACCTCCTTGAACCTTGTTGTAAAGACGGAGAAAAAAGCTTCATGGCCTTGTTTGAACTTCCCCCTCCTTTGGGTCCTTGGTCCCTTTATGGAGTCCCAGTGGCTGCAGGATCTCCCCTACTCTGTCCCCGGGAGGAGCACAAAGAGAGGCAGCCTGTCACACCATATCACAGTCAAGGTTGGCGGTACAGATGGACAGACTCGTGGGGACAGAAGGGGCTTTGAGGGGGCCAGTCTCTCCCCCCGTAGAAACTCCCTCTTGGCACCCCCGAGTGACAGCTGGTGCCTATGCTGTGCCATGGGCCAGCTAGTCACAGCTCTTTGTTTGTTTATATGCTTTAATTATTTCTAATTCTATGCCTCACGCTGACATCTGAGGAATTACTGCAGCAAGAAAAGACGTGTTTCACTACGTGATGGTGATTCGGCTGATTTTCCTTCCTTTGTCTTCCTTAATAATGTGATTTTTTTTTTATGATGTGATTGATGCATAACTGGGGAAAGGATATGGAAAGAGAACCATTTCATTACAGCAGAAATGCCACAGCATGCAGACGCTCGACGTGGCTTATCTGGCCTATTTAGCAAGGTGCAGCTCGGAGAGACCTGGTTGTAACTGAGAACCTTGGTTTTTCGGCCTCAGTGATTCTGTGGCCCGGGGCGGGGGGCACACTGGAGATGGGCGCTTTATCTGTGCAGGGGTGGGGAAGGGGAATGTTACTGGAATCTAATGGGCAGAAGAGGGGTGGGGGGCTGCTAAACATCCTAACAGGACAGCCCCCCCAATAAAAAGTGACCTGGCCAAACGTCACCTGGCTGAGGCTGAGGAACACTTAGAACGATTTAGGATGCTCAGGGACCCCAAAGCTCCGCATCTTGTCAGGAACACTGGAAACTCACAGACCCTCTTTTTTTACTGTGAAGATAAGAATTTTGCCACTTTTTCTAGGAAGACTGCCTTGCCTGCCTTCGTGTCTCTGGCAAATTTTTTTTTTAAGATTTTATTTATTTATTCATGAGAGACACAGAGAGGGAGAGAGAGAGAGGCAGAGACACAGGCAGAGGGAGAAGCAGGCTCCATGCGGGGAGCCCGACGTGGGACTCGATCCCGGGTCTCCAGGATCACACCCTGGGCTGAAGGCAGCACTAAACCACTGAGCCACCGGGGCAAACCACTGAGCCACCCCGGGCTGCCCTCTGGCAAATTCTTATGAAGCATCAACTGTGTATCAGAACTAAGCCAGGTTCTGGCAAAAAAAAAAAAAAAAAAGTAGCCAAATCCTCCTGCCTTAGTGAATCTTGCAGTTCTCCTTCCAGAGGCAGACAATAAAGTAACAATAAATATAAAACAGAGTGCCAGGAAGTGATAATGCAAGAGGAAATGGGAGTTCCAGCCAGTTAGCAAGGAGTTCCCAGAATAATGGGGTATGTGTCCTGGCTTTTGGTTTTTTGGGTTTTCAGGTTTGGGTTTTTTGGTTTTCAGCTTTGGGTTTCGGCGTTGGGCCAGGTTTTGCTCCAGCACCTGACAGGTGTGCTAGCTGGGCGGGAAATAGTAAGGATGGAGCGCTCCTCTAGATAAGATACTGAGGGAGGCCTCTCTGAGACCGTGGTGTTTGAGCGAAGACCTGAAAGTAAGGAAGAAGCCACACTGATTTCTGAAGACTGAGTTTCCAGCAAGGCACTACAAGGCAAGCCTCCCCCTGCCCTGCCATCTCCTTTCATCATTTTTAAAACTATTTTATTTATTCATGAGAGACACACAGAGAGCAGGCACACAGGCAGAGGGAGAAGCAGGCTCCACGCAGGGAGCCCGATGTGGGACTCGATCCCAGGTCTCCAGGGTCACCCCCTGGGCTGAAGGCAGACGCTCAACTGCTGAGCCACCCAGGTGTCCCTCCTTTCACCATTTTATCCCACCTCCAACTTCACTTAGAAGGTGTCCTTCTAGGGGCACCTGGGGGCTCAGGCAGTTAAGTATCTGCCTTCGGCTCAGGTCATGATCTCAGGGTCCCAGGATGAAGCCCCTCTTTGGGTTCCCTGTTCAGCAGGGAGTCTGCTTCTCCCTCTCCCTCTGTTCTCTCTCTCTCTCAAATAAATAAATAAAATCTTAAAAAAGAAGAGGAAGAAGGAGGAGGAGGAGGAGGAGGAGGAGGAGGAGTGGTAGTAGTAGTCGTCCTTTGAAAAGCTAAACGAGGCACTTGACCGGGATGAGCACTGGGTGTTATACTACACGTTGGCAAATCAAACTCCAATAAAAAAATATACAAAATAAATAAAAATTTAAAAACAAAAATAAATAAAAATAAAAGCTAAACGAGGGCCCAGCATATCCCACCTGTCCCAGCCCCTCCATGAGCCCCACCCCACACCCAGCCTTCGAAGGCCTGGGGCCAGCTGTGCAGCAGGAGAGCCACCGGGGGCGTCCAGAGAGAAGCCGGGGATAGCTTCCACGGCCCATGCCTGGCAACGCTCCCCACGCGTCTCTGGGCCCAGACAGCGGCCGGCCTCCAGCACTCCTTCCAGACTCGCTTCTGGGATTCTAACATCCCCCACCCTCCGCTCTCAAGGCTGATGAGGAAAACAGAAATAGAAATACATCCCTCAGAATTTCAAGGAATGGCCCCTGGGGGAGATGCTAATGCTGCTTTGGTGGCTTTATCATAACACCCGGGAAAGTGGGGGGAAAGTCAGGAAGCCCCTGTGGGACCATCCTGCAGGATATGACCCTACTCCTCACTCCCTGGAGCCCCGTCTGCTCCCCGAGTGCACACACTGCAGGTGGAGAGGGCACTGCTTTGAACACAACCTGGGCTGGTGCACCGGTGACCAAGACCCCAGGGAGAAATTCCTCCTCTGCACCCTCCTCTTGCTTTGCTGATGGCAGCACAGCCCTCTTTACTTGGTGTCATCACCACCTTACATTTCTGGGACTTTTGTTTTCTTTTTTAATCTTCTGCAAAGCTTTTCCATTCGTGTTCCCCACTGCATCCTTGCCAGCCCTCTCACCTCAGCAAGGTGAGAACGTGATCCCTTCAGGGCAGACATTTGACTAATGCAAGCTGCTCTTGACTCTCGACCATCAGAGGGGGATGGGTCCCCCTCCCCCTCTCTCTGGCAGTTTCGCTTGTGCAGTTTGGGGTTGCTGTGTCACCAAACATCAAGGTGCCAGACATGCAGGCTCCTTCCCAAAGTACAAGATTGATTTCTTCTGCATCAGCCCCTCCCCCCAAGTCCGCCTCCGGCTCTTCCCAGACCCTCCCCATCCCCACCCTCCCCTCCGAATCCAGCGTGGCCCCAAAAGCAGGGAGGGGGCTGCTGGGAGGCACCAGGCAATACCACCCAGGGCCATGGAACTTAAGACTGCTGTCTTCTTGCAACAGAATTATTATTAATTATT